GAGTAGAGTAGAGTAGAGTAGAGTAGAGTAGAGTAGAGTAGAGTAGAATAGAATAGAATAGAATAGAATAGAATAGAATAGAATAGAATAGAATAGAATAGAATAGCTTTATTGGTCAAGTTAAAGGGATACAAAAGGGAAGCATTTGTGTACATTTGTAACCTGCTTTTCTGCTGACTTAAGATATCTGGGAATTAAATCCTGAGAGAATTACTAGAATCTTGTTCAGCAACAGTGCTTGAATTTTAGTGATGACATTAGGCTGGCATTTTTGTTTGAGATTTTACATTGATTGGGATTGAAATGTACTTTGCAAAGCACCCTAAAACTTGGGAGAGGGGCAGAATGTAAATGTCATAAATACATCCCATTATATATGGCACAATATATTTAGAGAGACTAGATTAATAAATAAGTCCTTTTCTAATTAGTCTTCCTGGACTAGGAGTTTTTTACACAGGCATCCTCTATCTGATATTTCATATATGTAAGAAAAATGCTTCCATTTTGGTAATGTTTTTAATTCTCCCTCCCTCCCTCTCTCTCTCTCTCTCTCTCTCTCTCTCTCTCTGTGTGTGTGTGTGTGTGTGTGTGTATAAAATAAAAAAGGATTTATTTTATTTATAAAAGAATTTATTTTGTTCCTTTGATTGAATATTTTGAAGGCTATTTGTGTACCATCTCACGTGATAACTGCATTTAACAAATACTGTATGTGCAGCCCAGATCCTACTGCAAAAGAGTCACTATTTCACACAAAGAACATTTCCCAAACCTACAGACTTAGGTTTGATCAGAGAGAGAGAAAATCCAAATCCAACTGAAGAATGCTTGATGTATATTTCTGCATATTTTAGTACATTGTCCCTTACAAGTCAAATTCAAACTTACAATTCCAAATTCAAGCATTCCAGAAGTCACTACCTGAGAGCACACATAAGAAAGAATTTTTATGTCCCCTGAAGGATCTCTTGCTATTGCTTCTTTTTAAAACTACTTTGTCCATTTAGCCTTGCAACTGCAAAACAAACTTCAGAGACCTCTGTCTACTACAAAAGTTTTTTTAAAAAAGTTCTTCCCTACACAAGCTAATAATCAAGCTGCAAAGATATCCCAAATACTTGCAAGGTTGAAATTAAATTTTATGAAATAATTCCATTTAAGCGATATCTAAAGCCAATTTGTGCATACAATACAGTCTATTACAATATTTACCTACCTTCCTAGCTGCTAGTATTTACTTTTCTTCTTAAGGCAGCAGAACACTGTACTGTTACAGACAACTTTGGAAACAACCTTCAGCTTCAAAAGTCATCTTATAGTAAGCATTAGTAGCTTTGTTAGCTGTACACCTAACAGTATTAACTGAAGTAGAAATTCAGTATACACTTCAATCTTGGCAAGAATATACTGTTATTTCATTCTGGTTTTTTTAATTGTTTTTAATCTATGTCTGCAAAAAACATCTAATATGTTTTTGTGATAGTAGTCACATCAACGGTGCTACAAAGACTTAAGTAGAAAAAGTAATAACCTGAAAAACCAGAAAAAGCAAATAGCACTTAAGACCTTAGCTAGCTTCCACCAAGTTGGTATTTCCTGTATATGTTGTAGGTTTCCCAAGTAGAATGGGAATAGCTTGCCATTTTATTCGCACAATAAACTCTATGAGATAGCTTGGGTTCAGAAAACTGTCACAAAATCACCCAGTGAGCTTCATGATGCAATGATAAAAGTCCAATGTACCAGTTGCAGAAGACTAGGTGAATTATGTGGGAAATGGGATGAGCACCATCACAATATGTCTTCTGACCTCAATTTCTTCTCAATGAAGTAAATCAAGTGCAAGCATACTGCCATTGAGGGATGCTAATTGATATTTTCTTCTTGTGAGTGGTTCCTGCCATCTTGGTTGACTCAATGTCATCTATCTGTTGTCCTTGTTATGAGGAAAACATTTATACATACATATTACACAAATTTTACACAAGTCACCCAAGTCATATGATCTAATAAGCATTTCCAGTGAAGAAATAAAAGTTCACAATAGAAAAAAAACAAGCCAAGTTCAGTACAAATAACTACTATATCTAGCACTGATGATGTTACCTAATTTAGATAATGAAACATCTGCAAGAAAACAGCCAAGTTCAGGGAGCACCAAGGAACCCTCAACTACTGTTTCCTTTCAGAAACCAACATCCTGACTGGAATTATAAGAGTTCAATACTTTTGTAGCTACTTTCATCCATGTTCCTGGCATGTACACAGAAGCACATAGATACACAAGTGTCCTCATCCACATCACACAAAGAAAACCTTTAATATGTTCATTTATATATAATAGTTTCTAAAGAGAATCTGTTTCATTCACTGTTTAAATATTAACAAGTATGTCTGAAGATATATAGCAATATCAGACACTGATAATGTGAAATACTTGTACATAGTACAAAACTTTCAGCCTTTTTCTTGTGAGACATGAGTTTGTCTGACAATTAAGATTTAATGAAAGAGCCTCCTTAAAGAGCAGGTACAAATACCAATACATGGTAATATGAGCACTTTCCCTATTTGTATTTATACAAATTACATTTGGAGTTCGACCAATCACCAAAAAGGCCTGCTGTTTCTGATACTCCATGTGTCACCCATCTCTGCTAGTCTATTGAACAGTGCCAAAACACAAAGCTAGCAACAAGCATACCGCCAGCTGAGCAGAATACAAAACTTTTCAGTATAATAACAAGAAAGAAGATGGCTATAATATGCATCAATGAAAGCTAAGAATCAAGGAAAAAGAAAAAAATATCTTTGGCCAAAGCAAAAATAAATTGCTATAAAATCTGTCAGGATAAAATTACAGGTAATCATAAACAAACCATAAATCTTGGAGGGAAACGCTATATTCTCAAAACTCTAGAACAGGAAAGAAACAATAGTAGGAAATAAGTATCTGATGTGTTCCAGAAGAAACAGCTATTGAAGTGAAAACTGTGGGAGCAAACAGTTATATTCCTAATAATTGGTTTAACATTCACAGTCAGGTTTGTTAGAGAAAACTATCAGTCCAGAATTTATCCTTTTTCCTAGTGATCATTTATTGATATAATGAGAAGGTTCATTTGATTGCAAAAACTGGGGCATTATCAACAAGGAATAAAAATTAACTTGTACAAGCGAAGATATACAAAATAAAATTTGTAACATTGCTGATAATTCATATAGAAAAGGTGAATTATGGCCTTGCCTTTAAAGAATTGCTTCTCATGTGAACATTAAAAGAGAGAGAGAGAAATTTTTCCTTTCTTTACATAGCATGTCCCCACATTATATTATACTTTAGGTACAATATAAGCTAAAAGCATCTGGAGTAGCCCTACATGATTTCTTGCTTTATGAAATGTGCAACCAGTGCAAAATTTAATGCCCATGTCCATAAATCCTGCAGAAATTTCAAACACAGCTTGCTTACCATGCATGGTCAGCATCGGGTACTTGTCATAAAGGCAATAACTAGAAGTGTATAAAGGAGAGCACAGTGGATTCCAGAAGAGCCATGAAAACAGAATGTGAAGACTGGAAGTTGGTTGGGAAGATCCCAGCAAGTTTCAGAAGTCACATCTGAGGTTTTCAAAGCAGAAAAAGAAGGGGACGTTAAGGTTTATAGGCTGCGAATGAGTGTACGGAAATGTCTAAATGTTAGTGGAGCTAATATAAATCTCTACCGTAGATACAGATTTGATTTATTTGAATCAGGAAGACATTTCCAAATCCTTACTCAGCCGAGTGGCCGCGTTCACATAGCATGGTCGTGTTCGCATATCGTGGCACCTTTACTGGGCGTGTTCACATATCGTGGCAAGCCAAAATTAGGAAGCATACGGGACAACTGTTGCATGGCAATACTACTCAGAAAACAATTAATAAATCAGCCAACCATGATAAAAGAACAGAGAGAAAGCCAGACGTCTGCCGATGAGGGATTGAGCACATCAGAACTTCGCCTGCTTGCGAGTCGGAATCTGGAGGCACGGGGGATGCGGGGAAGCAAGAGGACGAGAAGCGCTTAATGCGCGCTTCGTTTCGGGGCAGGGACTCTGAGCATACGCAGAGTGTCTCTCCGCCAGCGCCACCGTTAAAGAAATTCCGCTCGCCCAGGAGAGTAGCGGACGGGGAGCGTAGATCGCACAACACCGCCTTGCGGGATTCAGCAGCATCGGGGAAGCAGAGAGAAAAGGGTCCCAAGCCGACCCTGGACTCACCCAGGCGGACAGCCCCCTCCCGCGCCAAGCCTTTCCTGTGCAATTGGCAGGTGCTGACCTGCTCCCTGCCCTTCATGGCCATCGGCCTCCGCGGAGACTCGAAATAGGGCTCCCCATCTCTCTCTGAGCAAAACCGAAACAAGAAGAAGCCGAGGGGCAAGACCAGCCTGGCAGACCAGGCTTTTACTCCGGAACACATAGATTTTCCCAGCCCAATTACGGCCACCGTACTCCGCATTTCCGCCACTCCCCTGTGGAAAGGAAAGAAAGAGGCCAATCACAATAACCTTAATAATTTGTTGCGCCAATGAGAAGTTTCTTCCCGCCTCCGTCCCGCAAGGCTTTCTGGTCATTGCAGTATTTTGTAAGTGGGAGTTTTGCTTTTATTAGCCAGTCAGAAAAACAGCAGTTAGAAAGTGAGAGTTATGAGGGTTAGCGCTACAGTACTTGCTTATTACCAATTCAAAACAAATTATCAAGAGTTTTCTTTAGAAAGTGCTCATTCTGTTGTGCCACATGCCTTGAGGCCTGGTTTATTTATTTTTAACAATCTGTTAATGGTTTATCTTTATTAACATTATGACTTCCAACCTGAAAGTGAGAAAACAATGGGAGTGGGAGGCTATTGCAAGAGGCTTCTGGTTTGAAATCCAAAGAATCCTCGCCCTGCATCTTGCATTTCATATAGTGCAGACATAAAAGAACTAAGAAGCTAGAATATTTCATGACCCACAGACCTTGGAAGTAGCTTACCCAGCCAAATGAGATAAGGTATAAGTTGGAAGGATAGCTTCTCCTTAGATAAATATTCCCAGAAAACTTAGAGGCCCTGGCTAGGAAGGAAGGTTCTTATAAAAATGATGTGAGGACAGAAATGGGTGCCTGGGTAAGGGGTGGTATTCTATAAGAGGGGCTGATTGTAATGTATATAATCTGTGCTAGATGGAGGGGGTATTTGTGGCTATCCACCTAATTTCTTGTCATTGCTCATAGATAAAGAATAAAGAACTTAATTTCATAATATTTTTATCGTTACAGATCAGAATGAATTTGGTAATAAATATTCCAACAAACATAAGAATAAAGATTTTTTGAAGGCAAAACCACACATTTTCCAGCCAGTCATCAAAGAAATATCTCAAACATAGAGACCATGTTTAGACACCTATTCTGGGGGGGAAATATATTCAGACCACTCACTTTGTAGTGGGCCAAATGAAGTAAATTCACCTGTCACAGTAATTATGTAGGACTCTTGGTGCAATAAGAGCAACTTGGGAGCTATTGTTTAGTCCTGTATTCTTGGCAGGCTTTGTTGTTTTAGTTGGGTAGAATAGAATACTTTATTTGCCAAGTGTGACTAGACACACAAGGAATTTGTCTCTGGTGCAAAAGCTCTCAGTATACGTGGAAAGCAACATAGTAATAATCATAATAATGATACCAATAAGAAGGGGTAGTAAAGAAGATAGGAAGGATAATAATACTACAACATACAACATGGGTAATTATACTTAGACATAAGACAGTACTGGAGTAGCCCCACGATTAGATGTTCAGCAGTGTGATGGCACGAGGGAAGAAACTGTCTATGTCTAGTTGTTTTGGCATACAATCCCCTACAGCAGCAAGGGGAGAAGTTGAAACAGTTTATGTTCAGGATGTGAGGGGTCTATATTTTCTTAGCCCTCCTTCTGGCCTGCATAATATACAGGTCTTCTATGGGATGCAGGTTGGTTGCCATTGTTTTTTGTTTTGTTTCATTTGCAATCCTAACTACCTGTTGGAGTCTGTATCTGTCCTGTTTGGTTTCTGTATCAAACCAGACAGTTATATAGAAGTACAGATTACAGACTCAATAATTCCTCTATAGAACTGTATCAAGAGCTCCTGTGGCAGGCTGAACTTCCTGAGTTGATGCAAAAAGACCATTCTTTTTTGTGCCTTTTTAAGGATGGTTCTAAATGTTAGGTGTCCATTACAAATCCTGGGAAATTATAGAACCCAAAATCTTTAAGAATTCTACTGGTGATACTGTGCTGTCAAAGATAGTAAGAGGTAGTAGAATAAAAAGGCTCCTCCTAAAATCTACCCTTATCTCTACATTTTTAAGCATGGTCAGCTCCAGATTGTTCCAGCTGCCCCACAGGGCTAGTTGTTCAACCTCCCGTCTATATGCAGACTCTTCACTGTCACAAATGAGACCAATGACACTTCTATCACCTGCAAACTTCAGTATTTAACAGAGGGATCCCTAGTGATGCAGCATTTGGAATAGAGAGAAAAGAAAAATGGAGAGAACATAGCCCTAAAGGGCACCTGTGCTAATTGGCCAGGTACTTGATGTGATTTTCCCTAGCTTCACCTGCTGCTTATTTTCTGTCAAAAAGCTAATAATCCACCTACAAGTATGGAGAGACACAACTAGATGAATCAATGAGTGAAGAATTTCTGGAATGAAAGTATTAAATGTGAACTGAAGTCTACAAAAAGGACCCATGCATTGGTGGTCCCTGGAAATGTTGCAAAATGTAGTGAAGTGCCATATTGATAGCATTATCTGCTGACCTCAGTAGGCAAACCGCAAATCTTGTCTCCTTTCCTGTAAGCCTCTTCTTTGGCACAATGTAGCTGCTTGAACTTATGACTGCCCCACAGGGCTACTAGTTGTTCAACCTCCCGTCTATATGCAGAGTCATAACTGTCCCAAATAAGACCAATGACACTTCTATCATCTTCAAACTTCAGTATTTTAACAGAGTGAACTAAGATTTATTATTATTACATATGCACAAGCTCTTGGTAGGCACACACATCCTAATAAAAGTTAACATAATATCATAGTATCAGTGAGTTCATCCAAGACTTCAGTATTCCATCTTGTTCAGTTTTGGAGTAATAACACTTTAATGAAAAAATAATTGAAAATATTGCAAACTTAAAATATTTTTACCACGTAAGTCTAACAGAGCTCACTATGGGTTTTATATTTTTTTTTATTTCAATTATTTAGATTTTGTTATCCCATCTTTATTACTTTATATGTAACTCAAGGTGGCAAACATTCATAATACTCTTCTTCCTTTTCCCCACAGCAACAACCCTGTGAGGTGGGTTGGGCTGAGGGTGATTGCCCCAAAGTCACAAAGCCTGCTGTCCAGGTATCTGTCTTTTTAGTCTCCCTTTAGAACATTAAATTATATGTATGGAACATTAATTATTTGTATGTTCAATTATAGAAGTTCCGGAAAGGTTCAGAAGTTTCAGAAAGACTTAGTATTGTGTTCATACAGCATGCTTAATTTAATTACCAATTTCATCTATTTTCTGTGTTGGTAGAAAACCATAAGCAAACAATATGGTCTGGATTCTCTCTATAAAATACTCAAGTGGGATTATGCTAACCAAGTATAGCATGCTGTTATGTTTTTGCCTGGCCCAAGTTATGACACCACAGCTAAAAAGTCATTTAAGATTCTTCAGGGACTGGCTTGGTGTTTATGCAACCAAGACAAGATTCATGTTTTTGAACTGTTTTTATTCCCGATTTCATATTTCTTTAGTAACACTTGCCTGCAATTAAGATAAAGCCATATTTTACAAGCTTTACTTGTAAAAAGTAAAAAGATTTATACTTTTGCCAGGTTCAGTCAAAAACATGCAGCAATAAATAACATAAAACTATAAGTGAGCATAATCTGGAAGTTTGTGATTGTGTTTAAATCCTTGATATATATCCATCATAGATTGCAGTCTTATATTTTCAGTTCTTATTGTACAATTTACTTCTTCAAACAACCACTGCATGAGCTGCAGTTATTTGCCATAACATTTGCATCCTAGTCTTCTCTCAACGAATTCCCAATAGGATAAAAAATGATTGATTTGCCAAATTTTTTTCTTTCACATTAGTCCTGTGAGACAAATTTGTACTGAAAAAGTGATTCAAGAGCATAGCCATTCAATGATGTTTACTACAAAGGAAACTAGTTTTCCAAACTCTCTTCCCATTCCACATTCACTAATCAATCATGCCTATCTGCCCAAACCCACATAATGATTGATACATTTGATTCCCACAGTAAAACAGCAGCCCCCAAGTTTTGTGGCTTGGCAGCCCAGCTGGGGATGGTAGAGGGAGAGGGAAACTGGGTGGCACAAGCAGTAGGACAGCGTGCATGCGCACACCCATGCAGCACTTGCACAAGTGGTGGGCTGGCATGCACGTATGCAGCTTGACTCACACAGTTAGTGGGCTGGCACAGACATGCTCAAGTGTCCACCAACCCACCACTTACACAAGTTGAGCTGCACACATGTGTGCACTCCAGTCAGCCACTTGCATGGCCCAATTCCAAGTAGGCCATGGCCCGGTAGTGGGCCACAGCCTGAGGCTTGGGGATCCCTGAAGGGTTTGAATCCTACAGAATAAGAATATGGCTATGTATATCTGATGATTCCTAATAAGGATGAAACTACAATAGTCTATGTGGCCTCCTGGTAATCAGTGTAACTGAAACTACCACATACTATATACATTGTGCAAAAACAAGTAAATCCACCACCACTAGGATGAGGGGGAGGGTGAAAATCATGTAAAACTTTCTTTCTCTCACTGTCTCAAAGCTCAAAGGGAAACAGAGTGTACATACCATTCTGATTAATATTATATATTCCATCTTCAATCGCAGTGGGAACCGAAAAGCTCCTAATATTAATGCACTGTATTTATTCATCTAAAATGCAATGGTCAATAAATTTAGTTCTTGGAGAGGATTTGCACCAACATCTGATATGTGGATCCAATGGTTCCCAATAAGGATCATGTACCATCTCCCACTGCCTCCTGGTGGTCAACATAACTCTTTATAACAAGTATTAAAAAATGGCAGCCCTATTGTGCAAGGGAAAAAAAATCCCCCATAAAACATGTAACCAGAGATTACACAAATCTTTACAACTGTGCAATATATATGATTTTATATTAGGACTTGCTTTCAACTTGTAATAACATTTTTAAAGAATGGTAGAAATTTTAGAAAAAAATTAAGTTATCAGAGTCCAAATAACTTCCAAAGGGAAAATAATTCAGTAACACTTAATCTTATGTGTTTATATGTTGGGAATATGCACTTGCTATATAATGGTGGTATTAATAATTAATTCAAATCTTATTGAAT